GGGATTGGGGTCTGCTGTCTGACCCTGGAGAACTCTTTGCTCCTGGTAAATCTACATCCACAGACTTGGCTCTGGGATCTGTGGCCAAGATTGGACGGCAGGATCAGTGAAAACCTCAGGGTCATCTTGACCTGGAAACTAATGGGCGCTAGTGGAATTAATACGTAGCCTCACTAATGCAAACAGTGGTTGTGCTAAACCTGTTCGTCTCCTTGCAGTCGTGGAGACCAGATCCTGGAGGTGGACTCGTCAGTCCTCGTCATGCTGCTCTCAGCGAGGCTTATATTGCATCCTCAAGTGAATGTGGACCTGGACCAGTCAGTCTCCATTATAAAGCAGGCACGCCAACCCCAAGGTAACGAAGACATCTGTTTGTTTTCTACAGACTGATCCATTCTCTTGAACATATGTAACATATTTGTACTGTATATCTAGCTCCTGATGTAAATTTCCTCTTTAATCTTGAGTCAATCTTATCGCTGGTTATATTCAGTGCTCCATTGAACAATTATTTATTAACCAGTATTTGGAAAGCTGAATAATATTTGGCAGTGAAAATTAGAAGTTTACCTCAATATTTACAGTAACACAGATTCCAGACAAAACTTTTCTTTCAAAAGCCTTTAAACATAAAGTAGGTTAATGGAAATGGGTTAAAACAGAAACTTTTTTGTAGAGATTTTAAATGCACATTCAGATTCCAGTGAAGGTACATGATGAGATCTGTAAGCATTTCACTGACTGTCAGCAGAGGGCAGCGAAGACCATGAACAATACTAAATACAAAGTTATTAGTCATTAAGTTTTTCAATGAGGAGATACAGGGGTGCTTTTTCTTTTGTCTGATCTGGCCAACAGCGGGGCAGGCCTATGATCTGGAAATGTCCCTGACTGACTGACTGACTGACTGACCTGACCTGACTGACTGACTGATATCACTTTCCCCACTTAGCCAGGCCGAGTGCCTCGTCACTGAGTTGGAGTTTTCTAGTGCAAACAGGTTCTATTAGGGGGTGTTTAACATCCTACAGAGTCACACCCAATGATAAATCTGCTGTAATTTCCATGTGTTCTACTCAGGTGTCAGAGCAGGAGAATGGATCACATCATAGCGTCGATCCCACACCACAGGGAAAAATGAAGCAGGAAACAGAACACCTCATGCTCACTCCCAAGGTCTGAGATAATTTACCTATGTTTTCATTTCCGTCCTCTTGTTTTACAGGTTAACTTTACCGTTAAAGGCTCAAGATGCCAAAATAAAATGTTTTATATGGCTCTGTGTGTCTGGCCTACTCTGGGTTCTAACTGCCATGGGTTTTGTAATGTGCAGGTCCTGAGCCTGTAAGAGCCCCAACCCATCGATCAAAGGAGCGCAGGGAAGCCTGGCTCCCTGCTCTCAGCTGGAACAATTAAGAGATTTCCTGGAGCTGCCGAGAGAGTAAGACTTATTCAACATCATGATCCATTGTTGAGTTCACACAGCACAATTGCTGGAGATTTTTAGTTCATTATTCTTAACTGTAACTGTATCTGTATTAATCTGCTGTTCAGTCCATATCTGTTCTAAAAAACACTGCTAAAATCTTTTGTTTTCTATTTTAGTTCAAAATCAAAAAACTGAGAAAAGCATAGTTATTGTTATATGAAAGGTATTGTTGAAGTCATTTACTTGAACTTACTATAGTTTTGAATTTTTACCTGCCTTCCTTATCATTGTAACAGTCTTTAAAAGTCAGACAGCTTAGCATAGGACATTATATTGGTCCAAAATATCTCTCCTTAAAAAGGGGAGAAAGGAAATGAAAATTTTATGTTAAGATAAGACATTAATGGCTCAGGAGGTGGGGTGGGTGTTGGTTCAAATTCCTGGCTCCACCAGTTCATGCATTTCTGAAGTGTCTTTTGGTGTGTGTGAATGGGTGTAAAAGCACTTTTGAGTAGTGATAAGACTAGAGTATAAAAAAAGTCCCCTTAAAATTTAGTATTTTTCTCATCAATCACACCACTGTGTGTCCCTTCCAGCCTAACAAATATTGTTTTGAGAGTATTTCCCTCTAATAAAACATGTACATTTTTACACCATGTCTACATTAAGTTGCAAACTGTCTTCTTCTTCTTCTCTGCCTTTTGCTGGGCAGTTCTATCTTTTCTTGCGTGTGTCACCACAAACAGCTGTTGATCATGAATATGAAGCAAAAATGACAGCTGTTCCGAGAGACACATGGTGGACATCACCTGACTAAGACACTTAATATTGGGTTTCCCCTTCACCTTATCATCCGTTGTATTTCAAAAGCGATGAGGTTGTGGTTCTCATCCTCCTTTCTCTACCTGATTCTTACTGTTGTCGTCTGCCCTGAAGCAAGGGCTCCTGAGCTCAGAGGCTGAGTTATCTCAAGTACTTCTCCCAGGATGTCTCCAGCCACTCCTTTTGTCTGACACCATGCTCATTGGATTGAGCGGTGAATGAGGCTCCGCACCACAGAGCTGCCGCAACCTCCATGGACGAAACGCATCACAGGCCACGAGGTAAATGTTCAACCATTTTAAATACACATGCCAAATGTGAACCTTAATATTTAAT